TTCAGCTCTGTTGGCAGATAGATTATGACAAATGATGGAGTATTACTTTTTTTTAACCATTTGGAAGAGCATAAACATAATGAAAAGCAACAAGCACCAATTTAAATAGTTTTACTTACACTGTGAGCATCTCCTCATCTTTCTATGAAGAAAACGAAATTTAATGTACTCTAAGTCTCCACTTTCATAGGAAAGAAGGTGATAACATTTATAGTGAAATCTTGCACTGACTATAGAGTTGAGGGAGAAAACTGGGAAATTCTAGAGAATTGGAGAGCCATAAGCATAGTCTCTCCAATTTGGAGGGTCAGCTATCGGTTCCTTCTGACCCGATATTAGACAGCAGGTCTGATGGCAGGGAGTTCTGGTGGCCTACACTAAGGAGTTGAGTTGCCAACCCAGGGACAGGCTGTTCGAATCTACTAGCAGCATTGTGAGAGAAATGTGGGCAATCTCCTGTGCAATTTACAGCCTCTGAAAACCTGCTGGGAGGTCAGTTATGAGTTGGTTCTGACTTGCTGACAGATGAGTGTATGAGCATGGGTCTGATGGCAGCAGCTTTTTGTAAAAACTACATCATTCGAGGTTCTGTGTTGCTCAGTGACCTTGGACAGTGTTCCTAACTCTCTTGGTAGTGAAATGAGGAGAGTCCTTCCTATGATTTGTTCTCAAACTCTGTACTGTGCAACTTTAGTGTTTACTTGCATCTTCTCAGAAATTCTAGGATAGGAAGGTTCCATCTAGAACATTTTCACTTGTTATTTCCTTTGCGTTGTAACTCTCAGGGATAGGTGTCATTTTAAAAAGTTTGCTCACATCTATTGCCCCTTCCAGTGTTATGAAGATTCTCTCTTCTGTTATAGTTCTTTTTTTCTTCTTCACTTCTTTTTTTTCTTCTTTTTGAAGAGGTCTGTGGTCAGTGATAACCTTATGAATATTGTCAAAAGGTAAAAGTCCTAAATTAGAGTCTGGATTTTGAAAACTTAAATAAATGAGCTCATGTATTGTTGTTGTTATGTGCCATCAAGTTGCCTGCAACTCATAACGACCCTATGTACAACAGCCCTAAACCCTGCACTATCCTTTGCCAATCTTACTGTCTCCAGCACACCTACCCCCAATACCCCAGTCACCAAATCAATCCACCTCATAGAGAATCTTCCTCTCCTGTGCTGTCCCTCCACCCTCCCAAGCATGATGTCCCTCTCCAAGGACTGGTCCCTCCTTGCAAAGTATGTCAAATGAAGGTTCAGAATCCTTGCCTCCAAGGAGTAGCCTTGCTTCACCCTCTCCAGGACAAATCTATTCGTTTTCTTAGCATTCCATGGTATATTCAATACTCTTCTTCAAAACCACAGCTCAAAAGCATCAATTCTGGGGAGCTCTGGTGGCCTAGTGGCAAGGAGCTGCAACTACAATCCCAGAGGCGCACGGTTCAAACCCGCCAGATGCTCTGCCAGGGAAGGAGGGCCAATCTCCTCCTGTACCAGTCAGATCTGATTTGATGGTACATTCACACAAAAATAATAAAATTTTAAAAAAGCATCAATTCTCCTTCTATCTTCACTAGTCATTGTCCAGCAAGTGATTGCATAGACCATGGCATGTATCAGGCACACCTTAGTCTCCAGACTGACATTGTTGCACTTCAGTACTTTAGGGAGGTCTCTAACCACAGACTTTCCCATCACAGTATGTCTTTTTCTTTTCTGGCTGCTAGTGCCAAGAGTGTTGACTGTGGATGAGAGTATTATTTGTTTGCTTTTAAGGGTAAGGCCTGAGGAGGGGAAGAAAACAGACACAAACACACATTATATTTTAGCTCCAGAAGATAATCCTTGGTCTAAAGATAGACCTTGGTCTAAAGCTAAGAATTGACAACTGAAGACAGGAACATTGAAGGATGTTGTCGGAAATATCATAATTGGCTGTCATTAGGTGTCATTGAGTACAACTCATAGTGACCCTATGAACAAAAGATCTGAACCCTGTTCTTTCTTTCACCATTCTCTCACTTCCTGACACACAAGAGTCCATTGCAGCAGTCACCATGTCATTCCACCTGGTTGAGGGTATTCCTCTCCTTTTCCAAACCTCCACCCTTTTCAGTATCATATCCTTCTCCAAGGAGTAGCCCCTCCTACCAATATGTCTACAATATGTGAGGCAAAGTCATCATTCTTGCCTCCAGAGAGCACTCCGGCTGTACCTCTCGAAGACATACCTGTTTGTTCTCTTGGCTGTCCACGAACAGTCCGTACTCTTCTCCAACACTACACAGCTCAAAGGCATCACTTCTTTTTCTGTGATCCTTATTCTTTGTCCATCTCTCAGATACGTAGCTAGTAATTGGGAAGACTATGGCCTGAATCAGACGCATGTTAGTTTTCAAACTGACATCACTACTCCTCAATAATTTGGAAAGATCCCTAACTGCAACTCTAGAATTGGTTTCCCATTCAACAATTTGCATTTTGTTTGGTCCCCACAAGGACTCCATTCCTTTTTAATTCCCCCTTTCCTATTTCTTCTTGCCTTTAAGCTTTATTCTTGGGCCACATGCTGCCCTTTTTGATGTTAAATGGTTGATTGTCTTAAGGAGTGTTCCTGTTTATCCTAGAGACTTGTTTGCCATATTGTCTCCAACAAACTACTGAGCTTAAACTTTGACAGACTTAGTAGGTCACAGAAGCTTGGGTCTGCCTTTTTGGGAGGTTTGTAGAATCATGTTTTTTATTGGGGGGAAAAAAGCTTGGAACTGACAACAGTGAAGGATAAATGCAAATCAAATAATGTGCTGTATTTACTTTGGATTTTGTGATTTGTGGGGGTTTTTTTGTTTGTATGTATCATTTGTTTGCTTTTTGTGTGTGTGTTTTTGTGTTTGGTGTTGGGTTGTGGGTTTTTTCTTTTTCAGGAGAAAGAATATATAAATTAGAGTAAATTTATATCATTCATATTTCACAATGCATTTGTTTCAGATACATTATTCATGACTGTGTTTTAATGTTCATGTAAATTTAAAACTGCATGAGTTATAGTAGTTGTATACTGACTGTGAAATAAATAACAATCTGTATTAAAATGAAATAGGTCCATTTTCTGGATATTTATAAGGACCTGAATCATTCTGTCATTGATTATAATAAGAACAAGGAAAGTAGAGCTTATTCTTAGACCCCCACAATCAGCAATTTCTCCCTTTCTCTGTATGGTATTATTGCTCAGTAGCACAAATGCTAGATTAAATCAGGCAGTTTGTTTTCCTACTCTTCTTACATGAATTGGGGCAAGGCGTTGTACCTCTTTGTGCCATCATTTCTTTAAAATCTGTACTAGATGGAATAATACCTATCTCATATTGTGGATATTGTGGTGGTGGTGGTGGTGGTGGTGGTAGTGTTGTTAAGTGTCATCAAGTCGTAAATTACTCATACTGACCCTATGAACAAAAGGCCTGAACACTTGCATAACTTTCATCATTTCTCCAGGTTCATAGCGTTTCCGGAGGCAAGCTATTTCGGAAGTGGATGCCACTCCTGCTAACAAGATTATTTTAATCAGGGAGCGCCACCAAACACTGTCCACCATTGGTAACCATTATCACATTTGACACATCAGTGTCACAATGTTTAACATCGCAAGCAACCATGAGTTACCTCTGTAAGCAAATGAACAGACCAGTGCTATACCACTTACAGGAATGTTTGACAAAAAACAATTAAAACCAGCCTGATACTGAACAAATGTGTTTTTAAGTAGGAGGTCAAATCACATCATCTCACACCCATTAGCAAGTCAACATCCCACTCTAATCGTCACCTGAACCAGCAAACAGACCTCTGTAGAATCTGGCTGCTGCAGACTACTTCCAAACTGGATATTAAGTGAATTAATATATCTAATGAGTTAGCCCAAGGGTCACTATGAGTTGGAATCGACCACAACTAACAGCATTTATTTAGCATGGTATTGTGTATTAACTATTGTTGTACTAGTATATAAGCAGAAGAGAAAAGGTTTGATTCTTTAAATTTCAACACTCTTGAGAGGCATCAGAATCTGCACTGAGATAGGTGGAAAGATGTAAATTTTGGTAACTACATCATAAAGAATTCATCTGGCAGCCTTCCAGAAAAAAGATGAATACAAAGAACCAGCAGAGTAGCTGGGACCATTTTGTTTGCTATAACCAGACAAGAGGTAAAAATGTCCTGAGCTGCCATAGTGATAATAAGTGGAAAAAGAAACATGTTTATAGTTTTAAATGAGGGGATCAGAAAGAACTCTGTAAGCCTGGAAAAGTGATTTATAAATTCGGGGACCAGCATTATAGCTGTATCATTAATATAAACTCATCGTTGTTCTTCAATTTCAGAACAGTTTCCAAATAGATAATGCAGAATTTTGAAGATTAAATGCAGCTATATATTGTGCTATGTTATTTCTATAACTTAATTACTAAAAATTTTCACAAAGAATCATGCATGTATATAAAGCATTTTAAACATCTCTTGCCTTTGACCGTTGGTCCTGCAGTTATGGAAAATATTTTTGGTTGTTCAGATTATATAAGGTTGTTCAGATTATATAATCATTCAGATTATATAAGGCCCAGAAATTTATTATTCCTTGATTCTTCTATCCCAAGGCTGGTGATGTAGTAATTGTGATGAAGAAACATAAATCTGTTTACCTAAAAATGTGAAAAAGTCAGACATAATTCTAATTCCCAAAATTAAACCATCACCTATTTCTGCTGCCCACTGGTTTGATTCCTACTCAACAACCCTCTCCCTGATTTCAGAAGCTGTAAATTTGGCGGGAGAGGACTGCCCATCCTCCTGTGGAGCTGCTAATGGATTCAAACCACTGAGCTTTCTGTTAACTGTGCAACATGCACCATACTATGCTGAGTTCATTATAGTATGTAAATACAGTTATTCAGACTTGCATATAATTCTAGTTAATTTCATGAGTATTTTTTTTATTCTTTCCAGGTTCGATGGATGATGTACTGGATTGTTTTTGCTCTCTATACTGTGATTGAAACAGTTGCAGATCAAACAGTTGCTTGGTAAGTTCTAGTACCATGAAAGAACCCGTCGCTAGAATACTTATCAGTTGTCTCAGATTCTCATCTGCTCTTGTTATTCACCAGATGAACTTGAGCAAGTTTTCTAAGTATCCCTGCCCATCTCTGTCCTTCAGATGTGCTGGTAGATTCAAACCACCGAGACATTGTGGCCTTCTGGTTATAGCCTCCTTCAAATACAAGTATATTCTTTTCTCCCCATGGCCTCTCTTCCTGATTCACGTCCTTACACACCTCTCCTTAATATTTTACAAAAGAGAAACTTAACTATCATTTTCCTTACTGGTAATTTCAGACATCTTTTCTCTTTATCTTCTTTTAGCTGACTCCTCTTTTGAAACTCACAGAATTTAATATTAACCACTGCAAACATTCAAACCACACGTTATCAGCATCCACATTGATACGCCTATTGTTTGGCTCCGTTATTCCAGTCAAACCTGACCTGTATCTCAATGGTTCACTTCTAGCTAATCCTCGCTGTCACCTCCAGTTCTCCTGTTCTCCTTACATCATCACCAGACTTCTTACTGGTGACCACCCGGTGTTCCTCCATTACTTGCTTGCTCGTGCTCTCTCATTGAGACCTCCCAATTACTACCTGATTCCTAATCTGATGCTTCCCCTTGGCTTTTCGTTTTTCCACTGCTCAACATAGTCTTGTCTGTTTTTCCATTTCATTTATTACCTCAAATATTGCTCTTGTTAGGAAAAACATGTCTAAATTAGTCCTCAAATCACTCGTCTTCTTTAGCTGTTCTAACTGAAGCCAGAAAGAAAGAAAGAAAAAAAAAATCTCACATGGGTGTCAATTTTAACTTTATCTAAGTCTTTTACTGGCTGGGTCAGCCACTGCTTCTGTTCACTCCTGTGTTGGGCTCAAACCTTTACTATTCTCTCTTTAAGCCACCTTTCCATCATGGCTATTAGCAGTGTTAGCACATTAGGTCACGTTGGATTTGCTAAAGAAAAAAATAGAAGTCATCAGACCTGAATGTTCTTAACAAACTGCCTTTATTTATGAGCATCCCTGTCTCTGCACCTTCCTTCTCGTCTGACTTGAAATATGTTTTACTTCCTCTATTCCTCTGAACATTTTTTACCTATTATGTTTTTGGTGTTAGAGTTTGGAGGAGGGTTATTTTCTTTCTTTTTTACTGCAGTAAATGTATATGTAACAATTTTTTTCATTCATTCATAAATTATTCATTCATGTATATAATTTCATGACATTAGTTAAGTGCATCATGTTATTCAGTCATTATTATTATCCACTATCCATTTCCAAATTTTCTTATCACTCTGAACAGAAATTGAATGTCCCCTAAGCCATTAGTCTCTAGCTCCTGAGGATGTTCTGGTGACCTAGTGAGTAAGAAGTTGTGCTGTGAACTCAAAGGAACACGGTTTGAATCCACCAGCTGCTCCTCTAGTGAAAGATCTCTTATTATGGGATTTGCAGCCTCTGAAAACTCTGTGAAGGGTCAGCTATGAGTTGGCTTCAACTCAAAGGCAATAAATTAGTTAATAAATTACCCTCCCCCTAATAGTCATGATTGAACTTTGCTCTCTACTTAGGTATTTCCTGTAAGTAGGACCATGCACAAGGAAGAATTCAAGATACTAAAGAGTTGAATAGAAGATTTCAAAAGGCAACATGGGATGACAAAGCAAAATATTACAATGAAATGTGCAAGGAGTTGGAGTCAGAAAATCAAAAGGGCCGAACTCGCTCAGCATATCTTAAGCTCAAGGAACT